ATTATACATCAAACAAGCCTAAAGGCTCATGTTCAGCCATTATTGGTTGTTTTTGTGCAAATCTGAAACTTTATTACCCAAACACAACGTTTCATGCAAATTAACAAAAGGGGGACATAATAAATTTTAAAAATAGGAATGAATATTGGAGCTGTTATTCTGAATGAATAAATGAAGAATAATTGCTTGTGAAAAGTCACCCCAGTGGCATTTTGTTGTCTTTTGGATCATTGTTCTTTTCCACTATTATTGAAGACTTTTTTGAAGTTTAAAGGACAGCGGATCGAGCGGTTCTTTTCAATTTTTGTTATTCAAGAACTGTTGCCTGGTAACAAATAATCGACAAATCACGGTGTATTTTTAAGATGTTCCACACACTAGAATATCTCAATGCATCACTAGGAACATTTTAATGGCCCAATATAGATTAACGGTGTCTGCCCCACTCCTTATCCCCTGACTCCCATTCGACTTTTGTAATAATTGGCTAAAAAAGGGAGAGTTTGGTTAAATTGCATTTTTTAGGTACATACTGAAGGATTTTAAAAAAAAGTTAAGGCTTAAGACAAACTTTCGGAACCAAAACTAAATGCACACGAGTATAGTTGATACAATATTATTCAATTCTAATTTTATTCAATAAATACTTAGTTCAAGTTCTTATTGAAACAGGGGATTTGGTTATTGAAACATCAAGAGACCAGTTTTCTATCACGCTTCGCTTGAGTGCTAAAACCATCTGTTTTTACGTTAACATTGGATCAGGTTAGTCACTTATGGTACAACATAAATGTCAGCAAACTGACGAGTCCCCACGTAATGCATTTGGGTTAAGCTCTCGATATAATACATTGCCTTTATTAAAAAAAAAGCGTTTGCGGTGTACGTTGAGAGTTAAATAGAGGAAAATGCCATAATTCTATCCTTTTTTTATGATTTGAACTTGATCATCGAATAAAGAAATGTGATGCATTCAAAATGAAGCAGTCCCCCCCCCCACACACACACACACACACGCAGGCACACACTATATGCTTTGCACTAAAATACTTATTCCAGTTACAGACGATGTTACGTGAAATCATTTGGATGTAACGCATGCAAGTCCTCATTTAAGGCGTTGCACTTCGCGAATGAGTTGAACTTCCCCCCCCCCCCCCCACCACCACCACCCCCCCACCACCCCGACCATTTTCCAACGGGGTTGCATTGTTTTCCGGGCGTTTGACAGGTAATTTAGAATTAATAGAAAAATCAAACGAAAAGCCCCCAGATTGAGACAGCAGCCCCAAACCGAAGCACTGCGCTATTGTTCTCGGATGCTCTTTAGAAACTCGCTCTATTCACAAAAGGGCAATTTTGTTACATTCACATTTTTTTTACACACCGACTTAGCTAACGCGGACAAAGCTACTCTGTCACCCGAGTAGAATAAACGGAATCAAAGGATTTCCCTTAAATAGACTAATTTTATACTTGAATTATGAAAGTAATGTGTGGGTAACAGTCGGCGCTCTGTACCCAGCCGCTTAATACTTTTTAAATCCTTACACGTGTCTCGACTAGTCGGGGCAATTAGACCTCATTATAGGCTCATAACCATTCTCATTTCCAGGATTACTTAATGAGCAATGAAATTTTATTGCTCATAATTATCGAAAATAATATTGTAACGAGTGGCATGCGATGGTGGGCGCGCGCCTTGCATCATTCCGCCTGGCTTAGACATTCCTTCGTTTTATTTCATCGGGCATCACTGGCTTTCCCTTGCTCCCTGCTCCTGTAATATCATCACACCCGCTTTATTAGTACAATTACAGAACAACTTGCTGATGTGATTGCAGTCCGCCTGACCTCTGCTCAGCCTGCTCGCTGCAGACCGCTTCTGATTCAAGTTTGAGCCCTGCCCAGGCTGCTATTTCCTTTCTTCAGTCATTGTTCGCTTCGTGCACTTTCCACTCGATCCTGCATGTTTTTTTTAGAGAGAGAGAGAGAGAGAGAGAGAAACCCTGTGATCCACCCAAGAAAGAGATAAAAATGCTTAATATCTTGCTATTTTTTTTTCAACGGGGTGCGAGTTTACATAAGGGCGAACGGACTGAGGTTGGCATTGATGCGATGTCGAGTTCTTACGGAGCTATCATCCCACGAATTAAAATGCATCAAGTCCAGGACTACCACGTAATGCTATGCGTTACTTCTTATAGTTTTGCCGTGGTGTTGAGTGCATTAAATGAAATTGACAAGGCAACAAACCAGCTGTGCTGTAGACCGTATTTGCCAATACTTTAGCTCCATTCAAAAACCGCAAGAAAGCCAATGGACCCTGTGCGGGGAAGGTGGGTAGTTTGAAAGGTACACTGCCTAGATCGGATTTTAATGACAGCATTGACACGGGAAAACAAAAGCAAATGGTGCTTGTGTAAATAATTGGTCTTAAGCATTGAAGGCAAGACACGAGGACACCATCTTTAGACCAGTCGTTGAACGGCCAGGCAGTTTCTTTGATCTTTCAGTTCCAACGTTTCTTAGCTTCACTCTCGCCCTCATGTCCGATACATTGTCTGCTTGTGAGGACTTTCTAGAAGTAAACTGACGCATATACTTAGTAGACTATGGACTGGAGTCATCACACTTTGAGGGCGAGGGTGCACCAAAAGTGCAACTTGACTAATATCAGATTCTATACGTATTCGATGGTCAGTGAGTTGATAAAGCTTCGTTGCAGCAAACCACAAAATTAGCAGAAAACAACTAAGCCAATTAATGCAAGTTTTATAGGCGTTGGCAAGAAGCTTTAGACAAAAGCTTATTTTGAAGATTATGATTTTTAGATTATTCGCTTAGCTTTTTTGTGAGTCGAGAAAAAATTCTTGAAGTTGGAGCTCCTCTCATGAAAGCAGTGTAAAGCCCCAAGCTGACCCGCCAGGACCTTGGTGGAGACCAAACACGCTAATTATTGTCACAAGATCTGGGATTAACGCATTGCTGGGATAGCTGGCTGTTTACCTTCACAATTCTAGTGCCTAATAAACACTTATTAATTGAATGGTAATCGCCAACAAATAGCGCAACCAGCAGTCGCCGTGCTAACTCATAACACTGAATTGTCAGTCGTGAACCTTCCTCTGAGAAGTGCGCGATCTTTAATCGTGTTTTGGAAAATAAGTTTCCGCATTATAGACTTGATGTTCAAGTTGATTCAACATATTTCTGTTCGAATCAAGTGTGAAGTGATCCGCAGAGCTAACGTGTTTTTTTTTCGCGCACACATTGTGACACTTTGCAGTCTGTAAATGCTGTCAATCTAAAGATAGCTGAGTTCTGTAATGTGTCTAAATGTGTTATATTGACTGGTGTCACGACTCCTGTGTGCGTCTGTCTGGACGGCCAATGTAATGTAATAAACGCCGAATTGTATCGTTTAAAATTGTATCATTGTCTACTCCATACAAAGCTGAAGGGTCACTGAAAGAAATCTACTTTGTTACTGACTGCTAATGCTGGGGTCGTCTCAAACGCGGATTTGTATTCCTGCTACAGGGTGAAACTTATTCACATACGCGACGGGTTGTTGTGTCTTAAAGTCCTGCTATTCTCCTAGCAGTACAGTGCATACCAATCAAAGTATTCGTAGTATCGTGCTTGCAAAGGAGAGACACCCGTTTTTAAGTGAGCATTCGCTCAAACATGAATTAATCTCCACACCTTTGTTTGCGTAAAAGGGGGGCATTTCGATCACGGGGTGGGGGCGGGGGGGGGGGGGGGGGGGGGTCTCAATAAGGCGTTTTCTGCAATAATATTATATCTGTTTCTTCGTCTTTCTGACGTGAAAGGCGTTATATAAATGCAAATCTTTCGGTATTATATCCAGATCAGCAGGATAACCAGCTATGCATTTCATCTCCACCATAGTCTCTATGAGATTGATTTTGTAAACGCATCATTTCTATGGTTATAGTGGCAATAGTGCCCATAGATTTGAAAGCGAGAAAGGATAGATCTATCTAGTTTGTATTTTTGCGTTTGTTAGCCTGTATTTCAAACCAATTTCCTTCACATTTCACTCAGTCTTGCTTTATAATGCGACAAGGTGATTGAAATCACCAACGGCGCTATCGGTTGCTTCTAATATCTGAAACACAATAAAACAGTATCTGTGTCATTAAATGCATTAAAAAAAGTTATTACCGAATCCATGAAGAACAACGTCATTAATATATGTACCGCGGTATGTAACTTAATCAAGAACAATTAAAATAGGACGATTAAAACAATTGCATTAAATATTATTAAAATAATCATTAATGCAAAGGCCGAAGACAGTAATAAAACTTTATCAATTATTGACATGATTGCATCTTGAATTTTGACAGGGGGAATGAGGGGAAACGCCAGAACCACTGGCAACATTCAGAGATTAAAACACACACTGTAGGATACGATGAAAGCAGTTCTATCTTGGACTGCAGCCATCTGCAGTATATACGAAAACGCTCACAAAGATTTTGAAAAAAAGTGTCACTGGAATAAACTATTCCCTTTCCACAGCGAGTCAACTGAAAGTGATTTTTAAAATCCCATGACAATGGCGTTATTATCAGGCAGCTGGTTAACTTGCTCTGTGCACATCTTCATTCAGCTGTGGAGCTTTCCCATTTTACGCACCCGGGCAAGGTACAAAACACTCCCTTAAAAGTTTTTTTTGTTGTTGTTTCGTGTTTTGTCAGACTTTGATAGTGGCGTCTCAAGGGGTTGCCTGACAAGTGGAAAGATGTTGATCTCCAGATCCCTTCAGAATCACGTGCTGATAGTTCACCCTCAACGTTGAGAGAAAGCCCTGGAGTTGGGCGCACACGTGGGTGTGGCTCAGACCAACCATCGCCAGGGACCCTTTTGTTTAGCCTCCAAACATAAAGCACCTTCTGACTCTCTCCGTGCCGCAGTGTGCACTCAATCCAGCATCCAGCAAAGCCAGCGAGAGCCAAGTACAAGGCATCATGTCTCGATCCTTTTACGTTGACTCTTTGATCATCAAAGACTCGGTCAGACCTACTCCTATCTTGAACGATCATGGCCAAGACTTTTTGATCCCCATCAGCGTCCACTCCTCCCCAACCGTGATGTCTGTCTCTGCTCCGGTCTGCCCGTCCAGGAAGACGGGCACTTTTTGTGTCTGTCCTCTGTGCGTCACGTCTCACATCCATTCGTCCCGGAGTGGGATCCCACTGCTGAAAAGCCAGTTCCCAAACGGAGAACCGCAGTACTGTCAGCGAATCAACCAACAGCCAAGCTCTGGGCTCGGGCATCCACCTGTCTGCACACCCACCTATAGCATGACGGACCCCAGGAGATATCACTGCCTCACCGTGGGTATGTACATCAGGGTGAAATAGTAGCTGCCTGCAACCGAGCAATCTCTTGGAAACAGGTGGCACTTTTATCCACGTGTGTCGATAATAAAAGAATATTTACTACCACAAGCTCTGGTTTGTTTTATAATAGTAGCTGTAGTATAACCATGCTTGCATTTCAAATATATGTAATGGTAATTTTTTAAAAATTAGAGTATACAAATGTTATTTGCAGAAGTCTTTCTTTCTCTCTGTAGTCTGCAGACTGTAATCTTTGGATCAGATGACATGTTATAAAGGGGCTTAAGACCTTTCCTGGGTGCGCTTACTAATTCCAGTAATACTCATGACTTTTGTTAGAGATTTCTCAAATTCCATTGCACAGGAATATTTTATTTTCGAATCTACCTATGATTTATTCCCATTCAAACATTCAAGGTGAAACTGGGGACGACATGAAATGCAACTTTCGCTACGAACATCTTTCCGTAGTAGTTTCACCCGTTCCATTCCTACATAGACAAGGGTGTTATCATAATGTATCTATAAATTATTCTTTTTTCGGTCAGGAGAGACAGAAAATATATATTGTGTTCAGTAACGCAGTTCATAACTGGATGGAGGACCGTCTGCTTAAAGCTTACTTTTCCATACATTATGGAGGCTAATGTTGTGATGTTGTTAACCACAGGTCCTGAAAATAACAGCCACTTACAGAACGGTAAACGCATGAGGACGGCCTTCACCAGCACACAGCTCCTGGAGTTGGAGAGGGAATTTGCCTCCAACATGTACCTGTCCAGGCTTCGCAGGATTGAAATCGCCACCTACCTGAACCTGTCTGAGAAGCAGGTGAAGATCTGGTTCCAGAATCGGCGCGTCAAGCACAAGAAGGAGGGCAAGGGCACCCCGAGGAGCGCACACAGCACCTGCAAGTGCACCAGCCAGGCTCACTGCCTGCGCTCCGAGGATGAGGGATCTCTCTCCCCATCATCATCCGGCAAAGATGACAAAGATATGTCACCGGCATAGACACAGCGGGGAGAACAACGATCTTCACACGTTTACAGACTTTTGTTTTTACTGTTACATAACTTCATCGCACTTATCTTCCAGTCTGGTTAAACAAAAGAGCTCCCCCCCACCCCACCCCGTGCAGAATGTTGTTGTAGTCAGGTGTATTCCCTGGTTGCATTCCCCTTATATTTACAATCATCGTAGAATCGTATTAAGGTAGAACAAGTGATTGATCTATTCTGATCATGGATGTTTTAAGTAATTACAAAGACTGGCTAAACACCAGAAGTGTGGGCTACTCTCGCAGGATAATAGCATTTTGTATGAACAATTCAGGCTTATTTGTATCACTGTCATTTGCAAACCCGCCAGCTTTCTGTATCAATATTGTATTTTTAAACTGTTAATTTTTTTTGTAAAAACGGTAGGCAGACATGTACATGTATCGGGTTCTTTATGAACACACGTAGAGTGAATGGGGGAAAAAATGTGTAAATAGTTAGCTTGTGGGTACATTACTGTAAAATGTCAAAATTAAGTGCCACTCGTTTGTCAATAGTTTTATATGACATTTATATTTATATTTATTTAAAATAAAAAGCTTGGATCTTTAAAGACATATACGTTTGGGACCGCAATATGTGTTTTCTAAAGAATTAACAAATTACTGGAATAACAGTTCGTAACTCAAGGAGTATTGGCATCCTTTTCACGATACATTCACATGCCATTGCAATATTATAGATTCCCGTAACCATATACAAAAAAAAAGTCACTCAACCCACGACTGTTTGTGGGACACTGCTGTGCGCAATTGGCTACCACGTTTCTCCCACAAAATATACAGTCACTACACTTTACAATACATTCCATGAAGTGCTCTGAGACGCCTCAACGACGCGATAAAGCGCTAAATCAAATGTGAGGACTATTCATATTATTATTAAGCCCTCGTGGAAAGATCCGATCCACGAAACCCCTGTAATAGAAACGTACAAAGAAGCTGCACTTTGTGGAGGAGCTTAGACATTTGAGAAGTTAATTTTGTTATGCTAATTAAAAGCGAGGACTGACAGATCAACGTATTCAGTGATACTTTTTGGTTGGGTTTCCCAGCGAGAAAGGCACAGAAGAGATAAATGAACAGATAAATTAATAAAGTGCATCGAACTTTTAGCTTTTTTTATATAAAAAAGGACGCCAGTAGAATAAGAATACATTAAAGAGCAGATCCATTGAATTAAGCAAAAGAAAGAGAGAGACCATCTTTCCAGTATTATACAGCTCCTTTAGTACAGTAAATGCTTATCTCAGGTGTAGATAAAATTGCCAGGCAGTATCCCAGCGAAGAACAGTAGTCAGGTGCGAACTTGCATATTCTGCAATGTACCACTTAACCTTTAATTCTTTGTTTTATAAATGAATACCGTGAGATACATTCATAACATTAATAGTATTGCGATTTAATTGACACGGAAGACAAGCGTGGAAATATTTCTAACCTATTATTGACTCCCCCAAAACGTATTGACTGCTGGCCGTGTTAAATAATTGATTAACCTCGCCTAAATGTTGAGGTCTTAGTTGACCTTTGAAACCAGTATATTTTCATACGTGCAGCAATAAAAATTTGGAAACCCTGTTCCTTCTGGTTGCTTTGGGAGCTGGTACGTGCAAGGATTGCCCCACAGAAGCCCTCAACAGGTCAAGAGCTTGTGTTGACTTGGCCATGAGAACATACCAGATATAGGAGGGACCTTTCAACTGCTGAGAATCATCTTCATAAGTGTCACGTATGGTGCACACAGTGGATCCAATGCAAAATCCCACATTAATAGATATTTAACTCATTTTAAAAAATCGCTATATATTTTAAACAACATTTGAACTGGAAGCAACACATTCAGAATAGCACAAACGACAAGAACCTGCAGAATTATGGCTGAATAGAAGCAGAAATATCAATGCACATTACCAATATTTTAAACAGTAGAGCTTTGCTGTTTTATATAAAATGGTCACAGCAAAACGCATTACTTCCACGAATCTAGGCTCAAACGTGTTGTTTGATTCAAATTGGTCAACTGAATAACTTTTTTCAAGCTAGCGTTTGTTTTTACCACTGTGCACATCCAGAAAAGGAGGGATTTCTAAAGTGGAACACATTTTACACGATGAAAGAAAACATGCTCTGAAATGCACCTGCATTATTGTATTTTTCTAGGGCAACAAGTTGCACTGTGTCCGATTGCTGTTTGAATTCAGACTGTAAATTTCAATTGAGAATAGGCTATCAGTTTCTTGAATTCTGCCAGCGCCCAAACAACAGGCAGCCTTCGGGTACTCGGCAGAAATGTCAGGGCGATAAGAGAAGATAAATTAGAACTTTATTCATTGGACACCAGAAGGAAAATAGCCCCAGATTAATGAACTATTGACAATTTCCATCTGTTGAAAGGCCGAAGTTGGCAATGCCCAGGACTGAGCGTGGGGAGCCCGGCTGGGCTAGCTGTGGCGAGGGACGCATTGTGTATGTTTTCTATGGAAGCGACAATGATGGATAGGAAAGCATTGAGCAATCCAGAGAAGTGATTCAGCAACTCGTAAACCAGTGTCACTGTTAGACATGGCCCGAGGTGCTTTTATGATGCCTTATTAGCCCTATCTATACAATATCGGTCAAAGATATATGACTTTCACGTCCTTTTAATTGACTTTAAACCGAATACAGTCGGAAGCACAAATAGCATGTGTGTTTTCAGTAAAGGGGGGTCGACTTTCACAGGGGGGAAATATGAAACTATTAATTTGGAATCCATTTTTTATTTGAAAGTGCTAAATACATCCAAACAACACCAACAACGACTCACAGGAACTTGAAAATAATGGGCATATAACAATTGCCATCTTTTGCAGATCATTCGTTTTTATCTTGACTTTAAAAACATTGCTTTGCATTCCATCTTTGTAAACTGCACAAATATTGCTAACAAAATTAATGAATAGTAGCATCAATAAAACTGAAGAAACGTTAATGTCAGGTTTCGCAGATTCCTGACACATCATTCCGTGGCTTTTTTAAAAAAAACAAAGGTGAATATTTCACTAAAAATGTTTGATTTAAAAAAAGTTTTTTTCATGCATCTGGTTATAACACTAACAAAATAATACAAGTTGTTGTGAGCTGAACAACTGGATACCGAAGTTATAAAAATGCCCGCTCACTATTCTTTTCTTTCAGTATTTCTGAGTTTTAAAAAATATTTTATATTATAAAGCTGGAGTTACGCAAATGTACACGGCTGTTACCTAGAAGGTTAGCATTGTGGACAGTTCCATCTAAACTGCCCAGTTTATTCACAGCTTCACTTCAATAAAAGATTTATATATTTTTTCTTTCTTTTTGGAACTTCTGCAAAAAAAACCCAGCAAAAGTCTACGTTGGCCAAGGGAAAGCTTTGACAGGTATTCTGCTGCCAAAGCCTTGCATTGAGTGGGACCCCCTGACGGGTGCAACCCCGAAGCCTTTGAACACAGAGTTGAAGGGCTCCAATGTCGGCTTAGTGAACGATTTAGTCACTGTTTCATTAAGCACTATTTGAACCTTGCAACATGTGGTAATTTCTAGGGGCAAGTTAACCGTCGTGTAAAAGAAGGATTATGTGGTAGGGACACAAGAAAATTAGCTAACGGTTAATTTAACTCGTTTCTGGCAGAATTTTCGATACATTTCTAATTGACTGGGGAGGCAGGTGAAGCTGAAGCCTAGGCGCACACAGACTCCCATATAGAGTGAGAATAAATGGGACCCATTTAACTCACTATTGACAATCTATCATCACAGAGACCCACGGAATAACCATTCGTTTATTTTTTCATTAATTAAATTAGATTCTGCCTTGCAGGTGGATAGATCAAAGCCATCCCGCCAACAAGTAAGTATATCCAAAAATTAGACCCTTTTTGCTGGTTGTGGGCTACAGGTTTTAAGACTTGAGACCAGCTGCTGGGTATTCGCCTGTCTTTGTAGCCAACAAATGTAAACCACAGAGAATGATCAAAACTGTCAAAACAAGGGACAGAAGAGAAATTCAGCCCTTATTAGCATCAATCAACCAGCGCTCAGCAGCCGAGCCAGCAAGTGATTAATAGCAATTATTTGTACATTTCTCCCTATCCAAGACTCGTAATATAGATTGTGGTAAAGCTTTATAGGTTAGTGTCATAAACTGTCAGATTGTATACTTTATTGGTAGCCTCTCTCTGGATTGTTAACCAGCGAGAGCGTGTTTTTGGGGCTGCATCAAGGGAAACAAAAAAAATGATACTAATCCTCTAAGGCAGAGCAATGGTTCCTTTGAATTTCTACTTCTCCAAGCAGCCAAAGAGAGGGAGAGAGAGGGAGAGAGAGATGGAATGATGATAATGAAATTACTTAAGAGCAGCTTGATCAGACGGCATCTTTTGTAATCTGGCGAGCGCACTGTTCAGTTCCAAGCACAAGGCGCAAAACGCACAGCGTCTCCATTCGCACCGCCGCTCGCTTTTTTTTGAAAAAAAGTTGTTTTTCTTCAACAATATCCAGATTTCAAAACTTTCCCAAACTTGTGCAGGGTTTGAAAAGGCAGCTTGCAGTAAATCAGCCTCCTTTGGTTAATAAGGCCACGGAGCACACAATAGAGGCAGAACTTAGTACCTGGGTCTGGTAGGCGAGGTGGGATATGCAAATGACAGGATATTCGCAAGGAAAAATACTCGAATCCTCCAAATGGCTCTTTTGTGAGTTTCTTTAGAAATCAAGCAATTCTGCATGACAAAGAACAATTAATAAGCCGTCTTTTCACGAGCTAGCAGCTGGTAACCCGTGGGGAAAGTAGGGGAAAATCAGAGATGAATGCGCGCAAAAGTTTTATTTTGCGCACCGGCATCCGCTGTTTGGAACTGTGGCCACCTGAACAATGTCGATGCAAAGAAACACTTGTGAAGGATCAGGAGCTTTTAATAAGCATAAAACA